CCATAACCTTTGCTCGATTAAAAATATTACATAGCTCAATCATAACCCCGTTTGATTTAATTGAATCGCTAAGGCATATATCACAATCATTACAAAAAAATAATCTTCCATTATCAATCTATACTTCAAATCTAGCTCAATATCTCGATATTATCGAATTGCAAGCATATCAATTAGACACAAGAATTGTGTTTGTCTTAAATATTCCTTTAACTGATGCAGAACAATATACTTTATATCGTATCTATCCAATACCAATACTGGATAATCGAACAGGTCTTCATTCAATATTAACAACAACAAATAAATACATTGCGCGAAATGATGATTCATTGTTATACCTTACAATAAATAGCCTTGAGTCATGCAAAACTTTGCGAGCTCGAACCAAGATCTGTTACAACACACTTCCATACCCAATCGACAGCGATGCCATATGCGAAGCCCAACTTCTGAAACGACAAGAACGCCTTCCCAGAACATGCCAGACTTCCGTAGTATTTGCCAAAGATTACAACGTCCAGAAGATCAACATAAACCTGTGGCTCATAACAGTTTCTGACCCACTGCCTATTACCATCAAATGCGAATCCAGAGACAGCCTTCACCCGGAATTGGAGAAAAATCCTTCCAAGACGAAGACCCAGTATCCACCTAAGCGACGCCATAGACGAAGAAGAGCAGATCCAACTTAACACCAATAAACAGACAGTCTAATAGTTGCTGCCACGCATCAACTTTCATCTAAAAGGGGGAGCTGTTATATGCATTGTACCAACCGATGTTCCTTATCACGACGATTCCCAGGGTATCAGGTTCCACTTCCAACAACCTGAGCCGATAAGGATCCATGCAAATGCAGTACCAGCAGAGTCAGCGGGACCCAAGCTTTTTACACGTTCCCACTGAGTCAGCATTTACTAATATTATAAAACCGCTTGTCGCTCTTAATTCAGTATTCAGTATATTTTTGTAGTTCATTCATTATATTTTATATTTCATTCATTTTTACCACGTAACTTGTATTTTGTAATAAATAAATTTTTTAAAAAGTCAAAAAAGTGTTTCGTGATATAAATATATATATATTATATATATATATATATATATATATATATATATATATATATATATATATATATATATATATGTGTTGTATATATATATATATATATATATATATATATATATATATATATATATATATATATAATGTTTATTGATTTCAATTTACAAGAATGAAGTATACTTAGTAGTTTTTTTTACATACATGTTAATTTTACATTTGTCACTCAAAAATCAAAAAAACATTAACTCATTACCCGTTAAAACCTATTGTTCGAACACGGGAAATAGTGTGTGACATTTAATTATATTTATTTTTGTTTATAATAATCTACAAACATTGTGTAATATGTATATTACATGTATTTATTTTACATGTATTTAATTATCCTAACGAATATAAAAAATCAGTCTATTGCAAATATTCTTATTTTTTTAAATTTTGATCATTATTAATTAGTCAGATCGACAAGTGTATGCACAAACATAGGATCTAGACTTAACACATACTTTTTAAATACAGATTTTACCATATTTGTTGAATTAAGAGTACTAGTATATATTTTATACATGTTGGGTAAGTGATTAAATATTTTGGAGCAGCATACATAGCAGATCTCTGTCCTATTGGTTTTCTGATATTTCCCAATTGAACATGTTGATTAGTTTTAGTGCAAGTCTCGTAGTGATGAGGTAAGGTACGCAGAATGTGTTTGATTATATGTGTACCGTAGCAGGGAATACATATAGAGTTGCCTCGTATCCATTACGTTAGTATCACAGAATAATAAATGACAGTAGTATGTAATTTTTTTATTAATTATTATTTTCAATATTTTTTTGTAATATATCGACTTCCTTTAAATAAGTCTTTTGTACACCGCCCCACCCAAGAATTCCATATCTAATTCTAGAATCAACTAGTGCATAATATATTTTTAAATATTGTAATTCTATTTTAGATTTGAGAAATTTAAACTTTGGAACTAAAACTCTTAAACACTTTGTTATTTCATCTATCTGGACATCCAATCTTAAATGAGAGTCGATTTTTATTCCCAGGTATTTTATAGTGTTACTTGATTTTATAATTATATTTTCCTTCGTGTTATTAATTGTTATAAAAGTATAAGAAGGTAGTGTTACTTTGTAACTGCAAAACGGAACAAAAATCGTTTTTTCATAATTAATGGCGAAACCCTTATAATTAAACCATTTTATTAGTTTGAGCATGTCTATCTTAATTTTGTTCTTTAAATGTTCCCAATTGTCTGCGCTATATAAAATTGCAGTGTCATCGGCAAAACTTACTATCTTCCCCTCAGTATTGAGGTTATATAGATCGTTGACATGTATCTTGAATAATAGTGGTCCTAATACTGTACCTTGGGGCACACCGCATCTTAAGTTGAAGTTTTTTGCTGTTTATATTATTTATACTAACAATTTGTTGTCTGTTGCCCAAGTAAGACTTCAGTAAATTATGAGCAGTGCCTCTTATTCCACTATTTTCTACTGCTTCTAATAGCTTTGGATGGCTTACAGTATCGAATGCTTTTGCCAGGTCTAGAAACACACAAGCAGTAGGTTGGCTATTGTCAATTCGATGGTGTTTGTTATTATTGCGTCATCCAAACTGTGAAGACGATAATATGTTGTGTTTTTCAAGGAAAGATGTTAATCTGATTTTTAGGCATTTTTCAAGTATTTTTGTTAAAGTGGTAATTAGTGAGATTAGTCTGTAGTTTGACAAACTTAGTTTATCTCCTTTCTTGTATATAGGAATTACAACTGTTTCCTTAAATTTGTCTGGATATTGACCAGTTTTAAATATTAAATTTATTAGTTCCACCAACGGTTTGATGACTTGTTTATTTATAATTTTTATTGTTTCTGCTCTAATGTTGTCAATACCGGGTGATTTTTTCTTCCTAAGTGTTTTAATAATTGCCTCAATTTCACTTTCAGAGACCGGTCTTAAACACATAGAATGCATGACGCTGGTGTATTGTGGGAAATACGATGTTGGTGGTGTTATATTCTTGGCATAAGTTTCTCCAATTTCTGTAAAATAATGAGCAAACGAATTGGAGATAGTTTCACCATCTGTTACAGTAATTCCTTCTTGTGTAACTATTTCTTTAATATTTCTTTTGGTTTCTTTACCTGTCAAATTTTTAACAATATTCCATAGCTTTTTGGAAACCTTCTTGTTTTTCTCAATTTCATCTTTAAAGTAATCTTTCTTAGCATTTTTTATATTTTATATTTAGGTGTTTTCTATAATTAAAATATTCATTTTTTTATTAATCTTATCAGGATCTTTGACATGTTTACGATAAAAGAGATTTTTCGTGTTTATGTATTTAACCAGTCCTGCAGTTATCCAACTTTGGATAACTTTTCAAGTTTTTTGTATTTTTTTATATAACTATTTTTTACTGTAAGTTTGTTAAGAAATTCCCATAATAAATTGCATTTGACATTGACATTTTTTGAGGCATTATATTCACACCAGTCATAACTTTCTAAGTCTTTTTTTAGTTCTTTGTAATTGATTATGTGTTGTTCTCTGCTTAGTTTTGTACAACTATTTTTAAGTTAAGTGGTAAATTAATAACAGTCGCTTTATGATCAGTAACACAAGTGTCCACGACTGCTGCTTTAGTTTGTCTAATAATTCCCTGTGATTTTAAAAAAATATGATCAAGACAACTTTTAGAATTTCCTTGTATTCTTGTATATTTGTTGACCATAGATTCAAATTGGTATTCATACATCAAATTGAGATACTCGTAAGCACGTTCATTAGTTATATCCTTAATATTAAATTAATGTCCCCGAGTAGTATATGGCATGCTAACCGTTCTTGTTTTTGTTGTTCTAAATATTGTTTTAAGTCTTCAAGGAATTCCTCCACGTCATTACATGGTGAACGATAAAGACAAGTAACTAAGATTTTCTTATTACTTTCTAATTGAATAAGTAGTTCAATTGCTTGAGAATGCCCAATCATTACCTTTTTATGTGAAAAAGTAATGGTTTTTTATATATACTGCTACTCCGTCATTTCTATTGAAGTTTGAATCACTATACAATAATATGTATTCATGGTCATTGGAATATTGTACATCACACAGTTTAAAAGTTTCAGTTAGTACTATCAAATCAAAATCTGAATTTATTTCACTTAATATAGCACTAAACTCATCAATATTTTTTATTAAGCTTCTAATATTTTGGTGAATTAATTTTAAGTTAATTTGATTATTTTTTAGTTTAATAAACTAATTTAGTTGCACAATTTCATTTATCTCGTAAGTATCATAAGGTTCAAAATCTACATCTCTTATAAATTGATCCATTCTAATGGCTTACATACTATTTAATAAAACAACTATAATGTGTATATATATCCACAAATCACAAAGTATAGAACAAAAGAAACTTGACACCAAAAATCAAACAGTGGACGTTTAGTGTATATATCAACAAATCAATTATTATTTAAATCAAAAGTAATAAAATCAAACTGAACGCTTAGTGTATATATCAACAAATTAATTAATCAATTCAAGACTTAATCAAACCAATATGTATTCTTAGTGTATATATCAACAAATCACAATGTATAGAACAAAAGGAAATACAAAAAAATCAAGGCAAATAATACGGGATGTCGAAAATAATTTAATTTTAGTGGAATAACTAGTTGGTTTATTTATTTAAATTCGAATTATGTCTTGTTTTATAAAATGATTTTTTATTAGGAGTATTTGTTTTATTTTTTGCAATAGAGTAATTTCTTTTCTTGCCAACTGCAGAATTTGGATGGGAGAGAGAATTAGGATTTATTTTGATGTTCCCTTCCTTTAATTTCTGTTCTGTCTGTAGTCCTTAAACCTGTTCCTCCTCTGTCTTGTCTTCTTCTGTTATTAAATTTTATGTTCTTCCTGTTGCTCTCTTGTAGGATCTTGCGCAATATTTATACTTTTTCCTTTTAACTTGTTTAGTTTTTTCAATACTTTTAATTTTGTAAGAAATGATACGAATTCGATTTTTATAGGACTGTCAAGTTGTTTTCCCAGTGTGTAGATATTATTTATTTCAGTTTCGGTGATAGCTATGTTTAACATATTGTTCAGTTGATCAATGATACTTTGAATTTGTAATTCTTGTTTTTCTCGAACAATCCCAAAAATAACTATGTTATTTTGTCTTTTATATTTTTCAGTGATTTCTATTTTTTTCTTTAAGTATTCATTTTCTTTTTCTAAATATTTTACTTTGCGTTGTATTTCTTCAATTTGTAGAGTTAATCTTACTTCTGAAGCACTAATCAAATTCTTTAGATCGCTGTTTAGTTTTCTTATTTCTTCCAACAATTCATTATTTGTAACAACAATATTTTCCATTATTTTATTCAAATGATTTCAAATAGTGTACGGCCACTTAAAATGGTTAATTTATTTGGGTTTAGATAAGACAGCAAATTGCATTTGTTTTTTGAATAGTTTGAATTTCTAAGGTTATGAAAGTTTATATTATTCAAACTGGCAATATTTAATAGGCTCTTTTTAATACGTTGTTATTCTTTTATTTCACTTACGATTTTGTTTTTAATTTAATCCATTATATTTTCCAAGACTCATCAATTTTCGTTATCAGTACCACATACACACTTTTTCACGTAAACGCAGCCACACACTATGAATATATATTATATATATATTATATATATATTATATATATATATATAAATATATATATATATATACAGTGTAGGTAAAAGTTTATGGTCGGTATGGTAAAATTTAACAGGATATCTAACGCAGATATAAAATCATATTTTCAGCGAATAAACAAAGATAACAATCATATTTCCCCTTGTTCTCCCCTAATAAATATTTTTAACACTCATTGCCCATTAGTGAGACGAATAGTTCCGATCAGAGATATTTTACATATTCTCTGGTTCCGATCCTAATATACCTAAAAAACTAGAGGTGGGTCCTCCCATTTTTTAAATTTTTATCGGAACCGTTTTTCGTAAACTGTAACTTAGTTGATTGTTTACCAGTATTCAAATTAGCGAGTACACAAACATATTGGCTATTATCGTTTATGTGTATAAGTATTGAAGTGAAAGAACCTAACGAAGGATATATTTATTATAACTTGAAAAATAAATTAAACAATACAAATAGTACTTACATTTACATTACACATTATTAAATTAAACCAGATTTTAAACTTGTGTTCACAATGTAATTATTTTGTTACAATACTACAATATTTTATAAATATAGTGGCTAAGTTGAATTAAAATATTAATATTTTAATTTTGAACGTCAATTATACAACTACATGTTATATGTCCCAAAAAGCTGCAATCCACATCGTACCACAAACCATTCTGATGTTAAAATAAATCATATTGCCGCAACCTCAATCAACTTTCATCTGATGATGCCAATGAAAATTGGCGAAATATAATGAACTGTTCAACAGAGTGCACTTATCTTTTAATCAGCTGTATACCCAATTAACCTCAACTCCCTTTTCATCTACCAGATCAGCTGTTATTTTAGAGGATATATATATATATATATATATATATATATATATATATATATATATATATATATATCTTTGCAGATAAGTTAAATAGTAAACTCTTAATTATTCTGGAAATCTGCAAGAAAGAGTCTAATCAGTATCAATTGTTTCGCCGAATGTTTTCGCCAATGAGAATTAATTTGGCTTCTTCAAGGCTGAAAGAGAATCAATTATAATTAGCTACCACATAATATTATTATCTATTAAAATACACTGTTGATCTTACCGTAACTTAGAATTGTAGAGTTAGAATTTTAAAAAACTTTAGTAATAACATAGTGGTTTTTTTGTTACTATGTGAAAAAAAAGTTTTTTTACCATTGCAAATGTATGATAGCTTTGAACTTAAACGCAAAGATGTACCCAAGGTCAATCGAAAAACCCAATGTAACTACATTTAAAAGGAAGTAATTCTTTGAATAGTCGGCAATAACTAAATTTTTGATTGTTTAAAAGTTTAAAGGTGAGGTCTCTTTTATCAGAACGCATGTGCTAACAATTCAAGTAGTTTTTTTAAATCTTTATGTCGTTAAGGTTCATTGGTAAAACAGAATGAATTTAAATCACAGTTTAGGGAAATATTTTTTAGATTTTCTTAATTGAAAATTTTTTTTATTATATATTGTTCATGTATTATTATAATAATATTTTATTGGAATGTATCTAAGAAAAGCAAGGGAATGTTATATTTTTTAGTTAATGAAAATTATTGAAGTAGGTTAGTTGTTAATGGATATATCAGTCAAGTTAGTTATCTGTGATGTTGTATTGTTCTTGATATCTGATTTAAGTAAGAAGTGGTATATATCGCTTAGATTCTTAATGTCACTCTTAACATTGATGGAGAAATCGTTAAGGAAAATATGACATTTCAACGAACTCTCTTTTAGATTTATTGTTCTCACGGTGGAGAATTGTAGTGTTAGTATAGTCCATGAGATGACCAGTGGAATGGACATGTTTGGCTAATGCATAGCGGTCAGGGTGAAGTCGAGAATCGCTTTTGTGTAATGTAATACGTGATTTCAATAATTGAGATGTTTGGCCGATGTAGGAATTGTTGCAAGAGAGGCATGGAATGTTGTAGACAATGTTACTAAGCATAGCTATGGGAGTCTTATCTTTTATCTTAGAATAAAGATTATTAATTGTTAGGGTTGATCTATTAGTCACATTAAGTTTAATGTTGTTATTATTATTACCAAAGCTATTTTCATAATAATAATAATATCGGGACGGTAGTAGACCAGTAGACCAATATCGGGTAATTTTAAGAAACAATCTTATTCCAAAGACTAGACGTGACATTATCAGAAGCGAAATCGAACGAAAGATCCATAACCAAGAGCAAGTTGCAGATTAAGTCTCTAATGAAATCCCTAATGAGCAGATTCCTGATCTTCTCATACAAGAAACTCAACCTAATAATATACAGCAAGACAATAACGAGTTGCACGATAGTCTGGTAAACGGGATGGCACGCGCCGTACAAGAGTTTAGTGGAACAAACCCACTTAGCGGACCACCGCTACCAAAAATAAACTCTTCTAAGAACCTAGGAGCGCTGTTACAAATTGTGAATACTGAAGTCCTACCCAATTATATCACAGAAGCCCACACATTGGAATATTTTCATATACACGACGAGGTACCAACATCGGAAGGACTATTAACAGAATAGCACCCTTGGAAAAACGACTGCTGAAGAAGATTGAATTACTGCGTAGGTATATTGGACAAATAACAGAATACATAAGAAGTAGAAAAACGCCAGCTACCCATAACAACAATGCTGGATGGATTGAAGACACCACGAACAAATGTCAACACTACAGGAATATTCCTTATGAATCTTTCACCACTGAAGGAAGTCTCGAACATTATCAAAGGATATAACTGGAAAGCTCCTGGACCAGACGGAGTTCAAAACTTCTGGCTAAAGAAGTTTTGGAGTGTTCATGAGCTTTTAACAGTATTTATTAATAATATTATTTCTAATTCACAGGAAATACCATCCTTCCTTACCCAGGGAACCACTTATCTAATACCGAAAGATCAAAATACAAAATAACACCCAAGATCCAGCCAAGTACCGCCCAATTACTTGTCTTCCAACTTTGTACAAATTGGTCACATCCTGTCTGGCCCGGCGTATCTACCAACACTGTGCTCTGAACAACATCATAGAGCCTCAACAGAAATGATGCGCTAAGGGCTCCATGGGATGCAAAGAACAACTTATCGACTCAGTCATTTCTAACCAGGCATACACCAAAAAAAAAAGTTTTAACTGCCTTCATTGACTACAAAAAGGCTTTTGATTCAGTGCCGCATTTATGGCTTATAGATATATTGAAAATATATAAAGTCGATGATAATTTCGTGACCTTTTTGAAGCATATAATGGCAGAATTAAAGACTAAAATTCACCTTCAAATACCTGGTGAAATTAATATCGAAGGTATCTCTATTAACCGGGGCCTTTTCCAGGAGGACTGGTTGAGTCCACTTTGGTTCTGCCTAGCGATGAACCCACTATCTCAGCTGCTGAACTCTACTGACTCAGGATTTAGCATCAAAAATAACAACACTGTTGTAGCGAAGCTTAATCATCTGTTGTATATGGATGATTTAAAATTAATGGCTTCCACTCGAAACCACCTAGATGAGATGCTAAAAACTGTAGAAAATTTCTAAAATGATATCAGTATGCATTTTGGACTAGACAAGTGCCGTATACTAAATATGGTCAGACAAAAGGTTCAGCCCGGAGGTTTCGATATGCAAGATGGGCAAAACATCGAGGCAATGGCTGAAAATGATATGTACAAATATCTCGGAGTAAAACAAGCGCGGAAAATTGACCATAAACAAATGAAAACTGAACTAACTTTGGAGTTCGCGAGAAGAGTAAGACAACTAAATAGGTCATATCTTAATAGTAAAAATTTGTTTAAGGTATTAAATACGTACGCCTGTTCCGTGCTGAGCTCCTCATTTGGTATTATAAAGTGGTCAACAACGGATATAGAGGGTCTTCAGCGGAAAGTAAGAACACTTCTTACAAAGGCGCAAACACATCAACCACGCAGTGCAGTAGAGAGAACAACATTACCGCGGTATCAAGGAGGAAGAGGACTTATAAATATAGGTGAGCAATTGGATAAACAAATTGCTAATTTAAGAACTTATTTTCAGGTACAGGCTGAGGCATCTACTTTACATCGAGCAATTTGCGCAGTAGATGATACGACGTCGCTTAAACTGAGGGAACAAGAAATGCCCATAAACCACCTGACTCAGCAAGAAAAAATGCGCACCTGGATAAGTAAACCTCTGCATGGGCGACATCTCAATGAGATCAGCCAAGAATATGTCGACAATACAGCGTCGAACTATTGGTTGACATCAGGAAAGATGTTTCCCGAGACTGAGGGTTTCCTACTTGCCATTCAGGATCAGGTTATTCCAACTAAAAATTACCTGAAATATATTGTTAAAGACCCTCAGGTCCAAAACGACAAATGCCGATATGGATGTCAAGCCCAAGAAACTATCCAACATCTTACCGGAGGCTGCCAGGCATTTGCTGCAACTGAAAATAAGAAACGGCATGACTCAGTAGGGAAGATCCTCCATCAAGAGATAGCTTTTAAACTGGGACTTCTACAAGCAAACCATCTCCCATATTATCAATACGTTCCTGAGAGTATGCTTGAGAATGACAACTACAAGCTATACTGGGATCGCACTGTGCTCACAGACCAAACTGTAGCACATAATAGACCAGATCTCG